ACCGCTGATGGCGCCGGAGCCGATTTTGGCTGGAACCGTTGCCGTGGCCGGGAAGCATTATTTTGGCCACCCCATCCCTGTCTAGGGATGGGGTCGCAACTCTGGCTGTCTCTCTCGAGTAGGGTAGTTCAAAAGATGTTGAAGTCTTTAAACTGCTTTAGGAATATGAGAGCAGGGGGATCGTAGACTGCATTAAGAGGGGGTAAACAAAATGACAAGTTACACACAAATAGTGCTAAGAATGTTGACAAAACTAAGTTAGGGTGGTATTTAAAATCTAACAATGCCAAAGAAAGGACTTGGATCACTACTAACTTAAATTTCTACAACGTAAAAAGTAGAAGTATGAGAAACAAAATGGATGAAATTAGGGCGTTGGCTTGTACCAAAAATATATGGATATAATCGCATTCACCAAAACGTGGATGAACTTAGACTCACGTGAGTTACCTGTCGAATACCAAATTACAGGCAGCAAATTATTTCATACTGATAGGCAGATGAGGAAAGGAGGCGGTATAGCAATCTATCAGGGATAATCTGAAGTGTGAAATAAATACGGAAATAAATACTGAACTGAATACAGAAACAATTTGGATAGAATTAACCGATTGTAGGAAGAAAATAATCATAAGAGTAATATATAGACCTCCTAATCTTGGTAGAGTTAATGAGCGACTGTTTTCGGATGAGAGGCAAAGGGCATCCATACATAGCAAAGTCTGTACAGTAGGAGACTTTAACTTTAGTCAAATAGACTAGACAAAATTATGGATAACTCAGAATCAGAGGATTTTCTTGAAACAGTTTAGGACTGTTTCCTAAGTCAATAATATAGCCGAACCCACCCGGGGTAATAATATACTCGATTTGGTTCTGTCAAAAAGAGAAAATCTCATTTGTAATGTCGAGGTAGGGAACGAACTAGCTAACAGCGATCACAAGGAAGTGAGATTCAATGTTGAACTTAATGTGCGTCACAAAGAAAATTCCATTTAAGTTTCAGATTTCAGAAGGGCAAACTTTGATAGTTTGAAAAGGCAGCTGATAATAGGAGAATCACGTTTGGGGGTGAATTACTAGACCTTACTTGAAGTGACCTCACACAATGTACCCACAGAGGGCGACCTCACTTTATCTTGTGAGTTGACAACGTTAACATCACGAAATATGACGGTTGAGGCTGACCTGATCACGAGATCTGAGGTTGACGAGTTCCACAACAATTATAATTATGAGTTACTTAATGCACAAAGGCAGAGCATGCCATACCAAAAAATCAGATCAAATATCAATGACCGAAAATGGATAAATAATTATTTAAACAATATTATTGGATAAAGGAAGGCAAAAGGTAGGAAAATAAATCGTGGTGAAGTTTACCTCCGATATTATTATAAGTTTAAGACCGAGATAAGAAAAGAAAATGGGAATAATGAACTGAGGGTAGCAAGGAAGGCACAGTCAAACCCCAAGGGATTCTTCCAAATGTATCAAACTAAAACACGATACAAGATTGGACCAATGCAGTCAGATACCGGCGAGCTCACAGATAACGACGGAGAAATGAGCAGTAATCTGAACAGATATTTTCATTAATTTTCACCACCGAAAATTTAAATATGATACCCTAGGCACCGACTATATACAGAGATAGAGAATAAAATAGAAAAGGTGAGATAGTAGTGACTAGTAACGATGTTAGTAAGTAAATATACAGGCTAAAGCCTAATAAGTGACCCTGCTGCCACATGGCATCACAAAAATTGTGACCAAGTCCCAGGTTACTGATCTGACTTTCTGTCTCATTTACACACAATTGCAGGGTCTCAATTGTTTCTCTTACTATTGATAACACAACATACATATATTGTTTCTCACTTTTTATTTTTTTTCATTTTGTATTTCTTTTTTATTATTATTATTATTATTATTATTATTATTATTATTATTATTATTATTATTATTATTATTATTATTATTATTATTATTATATCATCATCATCATCATTTTTATTATTATTATTATTATTATTACATTTTCGCCCCTCAAGCCCCGATGTGGGTCAGTGACTTGTGCCCGGGTGGGCTAATCCAAAGAACAAAAAAAAAAGGTCCCGATAGGATATTTGCCAGAGTATTAAAGGAATGCAAGTAAGGAAGAGGTTATTATGCCCTTAGCAAATTTATTTAACATGTCATTAAAAAACAGGAGTAGTACCAGAATCCCTGAGCCCTGAGGAATGCAAATGTGATATCGTCCAATCAGTTTAACACCAATTGTGAGCAAATTCCTGGAAGCAATAATTTCAAACTATTCGAAATCACCTGGAGAAGCACAAGTTGATTTATGATTCCCAACATGGTTTCACAAGTGGCCGTTCATGTCTGGCTAATCTATTAATATTCTTTTCAGCTTTTTTCGACTAAGTGGACGACAGGCACGATTATGATGTGGTATACCTCGACATTAGCAAAGCCTTCGAGGAGATATTCTAAAAAGGATTTTGGCGTGGTTACAGGACAGGAAGCGGCGAGTAAGCATTAATGGCACTAAATGCAATTGTGGTAATTTCATTAGTGTGGTACCCCAACGCTCAGTACTTGGACCATTATTATTCATTATATACATACACGACATAGATATAGGCAAAGACAGCAATATAAGTCAATTTATTGATGACACTAAAATAGGGCGGGTAATTAATTCTGACAAGGACTCCACAAAACTACAGGAAGATCTAAATAAATTATTCGAATGGTCTGAAAAATGGCAAATGAAATTTAATGAGGACAAATTTAAATTACTTAGTCTAGTCTAGGAAATGTAAACAGAGAAACCAGGTATCAAATGAACAACGTGTTTATAGAAATCCGACTGTGAGAAAGGTTTAGGAGTAATGTTAATTAAGAATCTTAAACCAAGTCAACAATGTGTATTTGCTCGAAACAAGGCTAACAAACTACTCGGATTCAAACAAAGGAGTGTTAGTTACAGGACAAGTGATGTTATCCTTAAACTATATCTTGCGCTTGTGAGACCTCACTTGGATTACGCAGTTCAGTTCTTGTCACCGTACTACAGAATAGATATAGAATCCCTAGACAGAACTAAGAGGAGAATTACAAGACAAATCCCGGGCATTATGAACCTTCAGTATAGAGACAGGTTAAAGCATCTTAATTTGCACTTCTCGAGAGACGTCGAGTGAGGGGCGATATGAACGAGGTGTATAAATGGAAGTCAGGGCTAAGCAAAGGTGATATAACAAAGGTACTCAATCTATCCAACCAGGAGCGAACTCGTCGCGATGGCTTTAAATTAGACTATTTAGATTTAGGTGCGTGTTAGGTAAGCATTGGTTTAGAAATATAGTGGATGAGTGGAACAAGTTACCAAACATCATCATTAACTCGAATATGCTGGATAGCTTCAAACATAGGTTGGCTGGATATAATTATATGAACGATGGGGGTTGGGTGTAAACAGGATGACCCAGTAAGGGCCTATATCTGCAGTTTCATCTAATCATATGTTCTTATGTTCTAACTCCAGATTTTTTTTTTTATTATTTTTTTTTACGGGGATTAGTCCACCCAGGCACAGGTCACTGACCCACATCGGGGCCTGGGGGCGAAAATGTAATGTAATAATAATAATAATAATAATAATAATGATGATGATAATAATAGATGATGATGTATGATGATAATAATAAATAATAATAATGATAAGCAGGCAGGCAGGAAAACGAAACAAGAACAATAATAATAATAATAATAATAATAATAATAATAATAATAATAATAATAATAATAATAATAATAATAATAATAATAATAAAAAGAACCATAAAGAAATAAAAAATAAAAAAAAAGATCATAAGTGAAACAATATATGTATGTTGTGTTGTCAATAGTAGGAGAAACAATTGAGACCCTGCAATTGTGTGTAAATGGGCAGAAAGTCAGATCAACAACCTGGGACTTGGTCACAATTTTCGTGATGCCATATGGCAGCAGGGTCTACCATTAGACAACACATTATGCTTCCAATATCTTCTCAGGCGGTAGTACCTCCCTGTTTGGTAGCTGCTAACTACCTACTACCTACCAATTACTGTACTGTAGTCACCGCTTATATCATAGTTACTTCAATTAACCCCCCAAATTAATCTTCCTTCAACTTCGATAATATATTCTCTGTCTGTTATAATTGCGTAACTGGGCGTAACTAGTGGTAATTGGTGGTAACTAGTATCCAGTAATATAACTAAACCTATTACTGGTTTGATTGTAGACACCAAACAAGTTCACAACTTAGCAGCTTTATACCTTATACGGTGTGTGAGGTTAGGCTCAGGCCCACGTGGGGTAAATCTTCACTCCTGGCGGCCAAGTTGTGGTTCTGAGCCATTTTCTTCCCCTTCAGTCTGCCTTATTAAAGTGAGACTTTTACGAACGTCACTTCCGGTTATTGAGTTACGGAGCCGGAGCGAACCTTTTTATGCCAGGAATGGTGGGGACTTGGGCTGCCTGCCATTCTTCACATGAGGAGCGAGGCTGAAGGAGGAGGCATGGGCCGATAATGAAAAAAATATATGTGGAAGGGTTAGGAGTGACGTTCTGTGCTGTCTGTGAATTACCGCGTGTACCTGTTCACAGTGCAGAGTAAATTACATACTATTGTACATAATTCAATGAAAAACAGTGCTACCAATAGTGCCACCACTAGTGCCATCAATAGTGCCACCAGTAGTGTCACATAGTGCCACCAAGTTGCTGCTACCAGTAGTGCCACCAGTAGTGTCACCAGTAGTACAACAATTTTGCACCATGTCACCAGTAGTGCCACAGTAGTGCCACCATTAGTGTCACCAGTAGTACAACCAAGTTGGCGCACCAACGGTGCCACCAGTGGCACCAACAGTGCCACCAGCAGTAGTGTCACAGTAGTACAACCAAGTTGTGCCACCAGTAGTGCCACCAACAGTGCCGCCATGGTGTCACCAGTAGTACAGCCAGGTTGTGCCAGCACTAAGTGCACCGAACGTGCCACCATTAGTGTCATCAGTAGTGCCACCGGTAGTGGTCACCAACTGCCACCAGTAGTGCCACCAGTGGTACAACCAGTTACTATCGGTAGTGCAGCAGTACCCAATAGTGCCACCTGGTGCCACCGTGTATATCAGTTGTGCCACCAGTAGTGCCACCATTGGTATGATAAAGTGGTGCCACCAGTGGTACAACCAGAGTTGTGCCACCAGTAGTGCCACCAACAGTGCCAGTAGTGTCACCAGTAGTACAACCAGGTTGTGCCACCAGTAGTGTCACGATGGTACCAGTAACCAGGTTGTGCCACCAGTAGTGCCACCAATGGTGCCAGTAGTGTCATCAGTAGTGCGCAAGTGGTGCCAACAGTGCCACCAGTAGCACCAGTAGTACAACCAGGTTGTGCCACCAGTAGTGCAACCAGTACTGCATAATTATACCGCTGGTGCCACCAGTAGTACAACCAAGTTGTGCCAGTGTTACCATTGGTGCCACCAGTAGTGCCACCAGTAGTACAACCAAGTTGTTGTTGCCACCAGTAGTGCTCACCAACAGTGCCACCAGTAGTGTCACCATGGTACCAGGTTGTGCCACCACTAGTGCCACCAGTAGTACAACCAAGTTGTGCCACCAGTAGTGCCACCAATAGTGCCACCATTAGTGTCATCAGTAGTGCCACCAGTAGTGCACCAACAGTGCCACCAGTGGTACCACCAGTAGTACAACCAAGTTGGTTGTACCACCAGTAGTGCAACCAGTACTGCTACCAGCAGTGCCACCAGATGAGTCTGATGGTACAACCAAGTTGTTGCCACCAGTAGTGCACCAATGGTGTGCCACCATTGGTGTTCCAGTGGTGCACCAACAGTGCCACGTAGTACCACCAGTAGTGCCACCATTAGTGTCACCAGTAGTACAACCAAGTTGTGCCACCAGTAGTGCCACCAGTACTGCTACCAATAGTGCCACCACTAGTCCCACCAACAGTGCCACCAGTAGTCGCTGGTGCCACCAGTAGTGCCACCAGTAGGTGCCACCATTAGTGTCATCAGTAGTGCCAGCAGGTTATTGCCACTATTAGTGCCACCAGCAGTACCAGCAAGTTGTGCCACCAGTAGTGCCACCAGTAGTACCGCCAACTGCCAGTAGTGCACCAGAGTACCCAGTAGTGCATCAAGTTGTGCCACCAGTGATTGCCACCAGTAGTGCCACCGGTAGTGCCACCAATAGTGCCACAGTAGTGCCACCAGTAGTGCCAACGGTACCCGCAAGCTGTGCCACCAGTAGTGCCACCAGTAGTAACGCCAAGCTGTGTGCCACCATTAGTGTCACCAGTAGTACAACCAAGTTATGCCGTAAATTGGTGCCACCAGTAGTGATACCAGCAGTACCACAAGTTGTGCCACCAATAGTGCACCAACAGTTGCCACCAGTAGTGCCATCGTTAGTGTCCCCAGTAGTGCCGGTAGTACCAGTGGTACCACAAGTTGTGCCACAATAGTGCACCAACGGTACCAGTAGTGCCACCAGTAGTGTCACCAGTAGTACCACGGATTGTTACCAATAGTAGTGCCATACCAGTAGTGCCATCATTAGTGTCCAGTGTGCCACCAGTAGTGTCACCAGTGCCAATTTAATGCCTGTGGTGCCAGCAGTACCACAGTAATGCTATATTAGTGTACCAGTAGTTTGTTGATATATGATACCACCAAAGGTTGTTATACCAATAGTGTAACCATTTCAGTAGTGCCACCAGTAGTGTCACCAAGTAAACAAGTTGCCAGTAGTGCCACCAGTAGTACCTAATAGTGCCACAGTAGTGCCTCGTAGTGTCACCAGTAGTACACCAAGTTGTGCCACCAGTGGTGCCAGATAGTACCAACGATTTGCGCCACCGTAGTGTGATAGTGCCTGATAGTACCACCAGTTGGTGCTCACTAAACACCTGGTACCACCAAGTTGTACCACCAGTAGTGTCACCAGTAGTACCACCAAGCTGTACCACCAGTAGTGCCACCAGTAGTGCCACCAGTAGTACCACCAGTTGTGCCACTAGTAGTACCACCAGTAGTACCACCAAGTTGTGCCACTAGTAGTACCAACAGTAGTACCACCAAGTTGTACCACCAGTAGTGCCACCAGTAGTACCACCAAGTTGTACCACCAGTAGTGCCACCAGTAGTGCCACCAGTAGTACCACCAAGTTGTGCCACTAGTAGTACCACCAGTAGTACCAAGCTGTACCACCAGTAGTGCCGCAGTAGTACCACCAAGGTGTGCCACCAGTGGTGTCACCAGTAGTACCACCAAGTTGTGCCACCAGTAGTGCCACCAGTAGTGCCACCAAGTAGTGCCACCAATAGAGCCACCAGTAGTGCCACCAGTAGTACCACCAGTAGTGCCACCGTTAGTGTCACCAGTAGTACCACCAAGCTGTGCCACCAATAGTGCCACCAGAAGTACCACCAGTAGTGCCATCAGTTGTGCCACCAGTAGTGCCACCAGTAGTGATACCAATAGTGCCACCAAGTACCACCAGTAGTACCATCAGTTTATTGCCACCAGTAGTGCCACCACTAGTGCCACCAATAGAGCCACCAGTAGTGCCACCAAATAGTGCCACCATTAGTGTCACCAGTAGTACCACCAATAGTGCCACCATTGAGTGTCACCGGCTGTGCCGACGGTGGGTACCACCAGTGGTTGCGTACGGTGGGCGCCGCAATAGTGCCACCAGTAGGTGCCACCAGTAGTGCCACCAATGGATGCCACCATTAGTGTCACCAGTAGTACCACAAGCTGTGCCACCAATAGTGCCACCAGAAGTACCACCAGTAGTACCATCAAGTTGTGCCACCAATAGTGCCACCAGTAGTACCACCAAGTTGCGCCACCAGTAGTGTCACCAGTAGTGCCACCAGTAGTGCCACCAGTAGTGCCACCAATAGAGCCACCAGTAGTGCCACCAGTAGTGCCACCAATAGAGCCACCAGTAGTGCCACCAGTAGTGCCCAATAGAGCCACCAGTAGTGCACCAGTAGTACCACTAGATTGCCGCATTAGTGTCACCAGTAGTACCACCAAGCTGTGCCACCAATGAGTGCCACCAGAAGTACCACCAGTAGTGCCATCAGTTGTGCCACCAGTAGTGGTACCAGTAGTGCCACCAGTAGGGTGCCACCAGTAGTGCCACCAATAGAGCCACCATTAGTGTCACCAGTAGTACCACCAAGCTGTGCCACCAATAGTGCCACCAAGTACCACCAGTAGTGCCATCAGGTTTGCCACCAGTAGTGCCACCAGTGGTGCGCACCAGTGCCACCAGTAGTACCACCAAGCTGTGCCAGTAATTGCCACCATTAGTGTCACCAGTAGTACCACCAAGCTGTGCCACCAATAGAGCCACCAGTAGTGCCACCAGTAGTGCCACCAATAGTGCCACCAGAAGTACCACCAATAGTGCCATCAGTGGTGCACCAATGTGCCACCAGTAGTGCACCAACAGTGCCACCAGTAGTGCCACCAGTAGTGCCACCATTAGTGTCATCAGTAGTACCAGCAAGTTGTGCCACTAGTAGTGCCACCAGCAGTACCACCAAGCTGTGCCACCAGTAGTGCCACCAGTAGTAACACCAGTAGTGCCACCAGTAGGTGCCACCAGTAGTGCCACCAGTAGTGCCACCAGTAGTGCGCAGTAGTGCCACCAGTAGTGCCACCAGTAGTGCCACCAGTGTGCCACCAGTAGTACCACCACCAAGCTGTGCCACCAGTAGTGCACCAACTGCCATCAGTAGTGCCACAAAGTACTTCCAGTAGTGCCACCAGTAGTGCCACCAGCAGTACCACCAAGCTGTGCCACCAGTAGTGCCACCAGTAGTAACACCAGTAGTGCCACCAGTAGTGCCACCAGTAGTGCCACCAGTAGTGCCACCAGTAGTGCCACCAGTAGTGCCACCAGTAGTGCCACCAGTAGTGCCACATTCTGCTACCAATAGTGCCACCACTAGTCCACCAACAGTGCCACCAGTAGTGCCACCAGTAGTGCCATCAAGTTGTGCCACCAGTAGTGCCACCAGTACTGCTACCAATAGTGCCACCACTAGTCCACCAACAGTGCCACCAGAGTGCCACCAGTAGTGCCATCAGTTTGTACCACCAGTAGTGCCACCAGTAGTGCCACCAGTAGTGCCACCAATAGTGCCACCAGTAGTGCCGCAGTGGTGCCACCAGTAGTGCCACCAGTAGTGCCACCAACAGTGCCACCAGTAGTCCACCAACAGTGCCACCAGTAGTGCCACCAGTAGTGCCACCATTAGTGTCATCAGTAGTACCAGCAAGTTGTGGCCACTAGTAGTGCCACCAGCAGTACCACCAGTAGTACCACCAGTAGTGCCACCAGTAGTAACACCAAGCTGTGGCCACCATTAGTGTCACCAGTGTACAACGTTATGCCACCAGTAGTGCCACCAGTAGTAACACCAAGCTGTGCCACCATTAGTGCCACCAGTAGTAACACCAAGCTGTGCCACCAGTAGTGTCACCAGTAGTACAACAAGTTATGCCATCAGTAGTGCCGCAGTGAGTACCAGCAGTACCCGCAGTTGTGCCACCAATAGTGCCACCAGTAGTGCACCAACAGTACCACCAGTAGTGCCATCATTAGTGTCACCAGTAGTGCCACCAGTAGTGTCACAGTAGTACCACCAGTTGTGCCACCAGTAGTGCCACCAGTAGTGCCACCAATAGTGCCACCAGTAGTGATACCAGCAGTACCACAAGTTGTGCCACAATAGTGATGGTGCCAACAGTACCACCAGTAGTGCCATCATTAGTGTCACCAGTAGTGCCACCAGTAGTGTCACCAGTAGTACCACCAAGTTGTGCCACCAGTAGTGCCACCAGTAGTACCACCAATAGTGCCACCAGTAGTGCCACCAGTAGTGTCACCAGTAGTACCACCAGGTTGTGCCCCAGTGGTGCCACAGTGGTCCACCAGTAGTGCCACCAATAGTGCCGCAGTAGTGTCACCAGTAGTGTCACCAGTAGTACACAGTTGTACCACCAGTAGTGCCACAGTAGTACCACCAGGTTGTACCACCAGTAGTGTCACCAGTAGTACCACAAGCTGTACCACCAGTAGTGCCACCAGTAGTGCCACCAATAGAGCCACCAGTAGTGCCACCAGTAGTACCACCAAGTTGTGCCACCAGTGGTGTCACCAGTAGTACCACCAAGTTGCCTGGTAGTGCCACCAGTAGTGATACCAATAGTGCCACCAGTAGTGCCACCAGTAGTGCCACCAGTAGTACCACAAGTTGCGCCACCAGTGGTGGCCGCAATAGAGCCACCAGTAGTGCCACCAGTAGTACCACCAGGTGTGCCACCAGTGGTGTCACCATGTAGTACCACCAGGTTGTGCCACCAGTAGTGCCACCAGTAGTGATCAATAGTGCCCAAGTTGTGCCACCAGTAGTGCCACCAGTAGTACCACCAAGTTGCGCCACCAGTAGTGTCACCAGTAGTGCCGCAGTAGTACCACCAAGTTGTGCCACTAGTAGTACCACCAGTACCACCAAGTTGTACCACCAGTAGTGTCACCAGTAGTACCACCAAGTTGCGCCACCAGTAGTGTCACCAGTAGTACCACCAATAGTGCCACCAGTAGTGCCACCAATAGTGCCACCAGTAGTACCACCAGTTGCGCCACCAGTAGTGTCACCAGTAGTACCACCAGGTTGTGCCACCAGTAGTGCCACCAGTAGTACACCAATAGTGCCACCAGTAGTGTCACCAGTAGTGTCACCAGTAGTACCACCAAGTTGTGCCACCGGTAGTGCCACCAGTAGTACCACAAGTTGTGCCACCAGTAGTGTCACAGTAGTACCACCAAGCTGTACCACCAGTAGTGCCACCAGTAGTGCCACCAATAGAGCCACCAGTAGTGCCACCAGTAGTACCACCAAGGGTGTGCCACCAGTGGTGTCACCAGTAGTACCACCAGGTTGTTGCCACCAGTAGTGCCACCAGTAGTGTCACCATGGTACCACCGGTTGTGCCACCAGTAGTGCCACCAGTAGTACCGCAAGTTGTGCACCAGTAGTGCCACCAGTAGTACCACCAATAGTGCCACCAGTAGTGTCACCAGTAGTGTCACCAGTAGTACCACCAGTTGTGCCACCAGTAGTGCCACCAGTAGTACCACAAGTTGTACCACCAGTAGTGTCACCAGTAGTACCACAGCTGTACCACCAGTAGTGCCACCAGTAGTGCCACCAATAGAGCCACCAGTAGTGCCACCAGTAGTACCACCAAGGTGTGTGCCACCAGTGGTGTCACCATGTAGTGCCACCAGTTGTGCCACCAGTAGTGCCACCAGTAGTGTCACCAGTAGTACCACAAGTTGTGCCACCAGTAGTGCCACCAGTAGTACCACAAGTTGCGCCACCAGTAGTGTCACCAGTAGTGCCACCAGTAGTACCACCAGTTGTGCCACTAGTAGTA